ATATATGTAATGTAAAGTACACGTACATACATAATTCTATGGTCCTGTAGAAGCACTTGAATATAGTGATCTATGTTTAGAATTTTGGCATCTAAATTTTTGATTAAGTGTTTTAGTGTGAGAATCTACCCATCCAAAATGAATTTAAGGTGTAAAAGTGAGGAAATCACTCATCTTACGGGTTATTATTGGATGAATTCGGCAGCTGCTCTTGTTTAATTACTAAGTGGTGATATATGGTTTGATTCATTAACATGTTCCCTTTAACATGAATTCAAGACTTATCATTTCAGATATTACTAATTTTGTGATTAAATCATTGAATTATGAAAATAGTGATAATTTGCCAATACTTCTCTGTATCAAGTTTTTTTACCACTAAACATCTCATTGAATGCACCTTATATTATTATATTTTCTTACTCCCTTCTTGACATTCTGTACATGGGAAGTTGAATGATCATCACTTTACTCCTTAATTAGTACACTGGCAGTTTAGCAGTTTTAAGTAATAGTTTAAATTAAAAAAATAATTTCCCTCAATTTTTGATAGAGTAGAAAATTGTATAAAACTATTTTTAGCTTTTGCATATTTGTTGTTCTTTCATGACAATGTGCTGTGATTTTTTATTATTATTGCAGAGAAAGATAAATAAATTTCTTGAGTATAAGAAGGCTAGAAAAAGTTTTAATGCAGCAGTTCACAACAGGAAGGACTATCGGAACCCTGACTTCTTGTTGCATGCTGTGAGGTATCAAGATATTGACCAAATAGGATCTTGCTTTGATAAGGATGTGTTGGACCCTCATGGATATGACCCAAGTGACTACTATGACCAAATAGGTGCTTAACTGTTTCTTCTCTACATCTACTTTCTTGTGCTTCCCTGTACTTGTTTACTTTATGCTCATATTTTACCTGATTTTGTTAATTATATGATACTTCTTGTGTGTTCTTGCAAACATTAATATTTCATGTTTGTCATATTCTAGATATACTGGTCGCTGGTATTTGGGCTATTTAGGCTATTATTGTTCACCATACTAACACCGGACTTGATATCTGGTATTGAACTTGTTTGCCTTCTAACCTGATGTTGAAATTATGTTTTGCCGTTGGATTGTGTTTTTTCTCTTCAAAAGCCCTTTTGATAATATTATTTATGCTGAAATGGACAGCCAACATCTATACATAACTGTGTATGGCTAGTTATATCTGCTTTGGGGTTCTTTCTGTATTTTTTATGAATATGTTGGTCATGATTTTGGAAGTTAAATACTAGCCTAATTTAAGTTTTCATTTGTGAATTTAACCAACTTATTTGTCATGCCATATTTTGTTATTTGTTCATATTTTTCTCAGCACCATCAGATCATTAAGGCCGACTTTCGTCCCTACTTGATGGATTGGTCTTGCAGTCAAGCTCCCTTTAAGTACGTGATACTGATGTTGCTTTACCACCCCTAACTGTCACATAGGCAAATATGAGACGTGGAAGTGACAAGAAAGAGCAGGAGAAGAAAGCCCAGAAAATTGAATTTGTCTCCAGGGGAGCACAACCAGGAATTGTAACTGGTGTTCCAAGGATCAATGTACCTGTTGCAAGTCATAAAGCAACCTAGTTTACCTATGGTATGGCAAAGGTCATTCTTACTACTCATTTTCTATTTTATGCTGATTTTCTCTCTTCTCTCTTCAGGTGGTTTGCCTTTGATGCCTCCTATTGCTGAGACCACCAATCGTGATGGTAGACTGAACAAAAAATAAAAATGGGCGAGGTATTCATTTAAACAAATGCACCAACACGTGCAACTTTCTTCAAATTTTTACACTATTTCAGGGAATAATAATCTTGTTAGGTGGATACTTGCCTACTCGCGCTGCAATTTTGCTGCTAATGCTGATGATGGGTGCGTGCATTTTGCGTGAGATTATGAATAACTTCGAGCTTCTTTATGTATTCTAGAATGGGATGTGTTTGATACTATGACCCTTGTTGTAATGTGGGACAGGCAGCAAAAACGACGAGAGGTGGAAGGTCAAGTGAAACGAAGGAAAGAAGGTCATAAGCTCCAATCATTTTGGTCTGTCAAACTAATACCTCCAACCATTTACCGTCGACAAAAATGTTTGTCTATTCAACAAGTTTTGCTAAGTCCCCATTCTATGCATCATGAAAGGTGGAAAGGAATAGTGTTGTGGTTATCACTGCAGGATTTCACTTAGCTAAATAGTTGGTTTTATTTTGTTTAACTTTTTTTTTACGAGCACGCTCAATCAGGATTTCGAGTGGGATTGTCATTCCAGTTGCTTGCGCCAGTACAAAATGCGTAGTGGTCTATGTATAAGCTTTTCTTTTTTATTTTTTTGGATAATTCCTAATACATGTGAGAGAGTATACAAGTGACCTTTTTTCATTAAAAATGATTTTTTGGGGTTTTAGTTGTCAGTGTGAAGGGCGCCAATGGCAAAAGCAAGTAAAGCGAAAGATAAAATAAAGGGGATCAGGGAGTAATTTTGTTAACTAATATCAAGAAAGTAAAATATGGTGAATTTAAGTGCTAGATATTTCATTCATTCTAGCTAACAGCTTAATATTGACCTAATAGAGTTATTTTCATTATTGCTTACCATTATCTTTTGAAATTTGGACCGTAATAGATAGATTGACGTGATTTAAATCTTTAAATTGGTGTTTAAATTGGTGTGAAAAAATAACTTATCTAACTTGCTTGCAGTTAAGTCCTAGTCAATTACACAATGTAATCGACGGACATAAACCTTGTATCTAATTTCATTTATTGTTCTTCTGTGCCTTCACAGCTCAAAAATGAATGTTGTTTCATACAATTATCAAGAACTCTATGGTCAATTGTGACCAATCTCATTGAACTAATTAGTAATCTTTATAACACAATTAAGCAAACCACACAGATGTTGCATGAAAGCCTCACAATCACAATACACCAATTTCTGAGTCTTTCATACATGAATAAACAAACCACGCTTTGGATAGGGTTTTGTCATGCATCACCCAATTGTTTATGATAAAAACAGTCTCATTTATCAAATAATTGAGAATTCAACAAACGCATCACCCCACAAATATCTGTCCATATTCATCATCTTGTAGTCAATGATTTTGCAGTCTACACTTCGGATGAGTTGCCTGCATTAATCAAGCAAGGAAACCAAGAAGACTATTGAGTGTATTCTACATATATTCATGTTATCAAATATAATTCATTTTGTAGTCAATACTTCAAAAACCTTATTTGTTTTCTTATTTTGAAAGCCGTTTTGTGTTTTTAAAAATAAAAAAAATTAAAAAGGCTTGTTTTGTAATTTGTTGTTAATTTAAAAACCAAAAAACAGAAATATTTTTAAAAACTCAAAAATGAAAACAACTTATAGTTACTTTCTTGTTTTTGTTTTCACATTTCCTATTTTTTTGTTTGCAAAAATTGGAAAAACTTTTTTTCTCCGCTCGATGGCTTTTTTCTCATTTAAAAACTTGAGTTCTCATTGAAACTTCACTTTCCAGTCTCAGTATGTTTATGTTCAAATGCAGTTTTTTGAAACAGATTTTTTTTTGTTTTTTTGTCTTCAAAACTTGTTTTAAAAAACAATTTTATAAAACTATTTTGAGAAAAAAATAAAAAAACAGAAACAAAGAGCCCCTCTATTTTTATCATTCTATTTTGTAAATATATATCATATTTAGTTGAAAACATGGGTTAAATAGTTGGGGTAAACAAATTATCAAAATCATCCTTTTTGAAATACGCCAGCTGTTTCTTTTCTTCTTAATCACAGTTGATCTCTTTAAAAAAAGCAAAAGCAATTCACTAACTCAACCAATACTATACACAGAGAATGTACAGAAACAAAGAAATTTTTTAAAAAAGTAAAAAAAAAAAAAACCCACACACACACACGCATACTCACAAAAAGATGGCTCCCCTTTTCATCCTTTAATATATAGCAGTTCTTGATATTATAGTAACTACTATTGGAAAAGAAATTGAAATAAACATCAACAAGCAACTCATATCTTTTAGTGATAGTAAAGCACAGACAAATGCAGCAAAAACATAAAAATAATTTAAGAAAAAGAAAAAATTTGGCGTATAGGGAGAAAAAAAGAGATGCAAGTTTTTTTTATTTCCAAGCTTGTCCCCCTCATATATGAGGCTTTTATTGATATCATAATAACCACTAGGGAAAAAAACAGCCGATAAGCAGAAAAGTCATGAAAGTAGCGAACCTGGAAAGAATGACAACATGGATGATGGACTTATCCTTCTATATATTAACACTATCCTGCAATAACAAATCATAATATTAGCTGCCTAAAATAGAAGGCAATTTTGAAAAGAGACGTCGTTGACATGAGCACGATACAATCAATTTTCTATTTCCGTGGTCATTAACAACACATTTTCTGAAAAAATATTTGTTAGTATGGGTATGTCATACCTTTGCTGAGGACAGCATTTCTACTGTTTTGTTAAGGTCTTCTTTATCCTTCCATTTCATCTCATGCTTTTCTATTTTTACTCTAGACAACTCTGGTGTTTCCAGTGTTCCTGGACAAAACATCTTCATTTCAGGACATCCAGTTATTTCTATCTCTTCTAATTCAAGGAATTCAAATGTCTGACTTTGTGAAGAGAACATCTTCAAGCTTGGCATATCAGTAAGTTCAATCCACCGTAATCGGTTGAGAGTGATTCCACCTTCTACACCTTCATTGTTCTCATTCAATACAATTTCCTCCATTTTTTTACAATCGTTTATCCTCAAACATTCAAGACTCATCAAGCTTTTGGCAGTTGAACTTGTCACCAAATAGACGAGTTGATGGCATCCAGATATAGACAGGTACCACAAATTTTGAAATGAAGCAGAGGATGGTGCCAACTTGACCAAGCTATGACAACTTTCGACTTCCAGGCTTTTTATTAGGTTTTGATGAATTGGTGGTAGCTGAGAATCATCCTTCCATATGCTTTTGAGTTGATCCAAATAGGCAATGTGTAATTCTTCAAATGGTGGGATTTTTCCCATAAAATCAAGAATCTCATCCTGTGAGGGGAATATCTCCCCAAAGGAACTGTGCTCCACATAAAGCTTATCCAATTTGGGAAATCTCTCAAGGAAGCTATAGGGAAATGTTACCCCTTTATCTGTGAAGCTTTCTACATAAAGAGCACTCACTCTAGGAAAAACATCACTTATCATTGTGATATTCTTCGCATTTAAAGCCATGCTTTCGGTTGTGGAAATTACCTGTAAAATCATAATTAGTAAAACAATTACCATAATGAGTAGGCGATTTAGTAAATTACATCAAGATATTGTTTTCAAGAATTAAAACTTTTCAATGGATCACTCGTCTTTTGCTAATATCTAAAACTTTCATAATTTCACCATGAAATAACATCCACACCTTAAAATTTAAAAAATCCTTTAAATTAACTTCAAAGCCCCTTTCTTTCATCTAAGTTAAATTGAAAAAAAAATCCATAATTTCCTTGGAATTCACATTTAGGGCTGGCCTTTTTTTACTATGAAAATAACCTGTTCAAAGATTATTGGTAAAATTAATATTATAAGAAGGTAGTTTAATAAATCAGGTCAGAATATTTTTTAAAATAATAATTTCTTATATTTATTGTAGATAAAATCTTTCTTAATTGACTAGTTATCTTTATCTAGTACTTATATTTTTCATCATTAATCCCCCCCCAAAAAAAATCACGTTAAAAAAAATAAAATTCTTTGAATCAGTTTATAGGCCCATTTCTTTCCAGTCAGAGATCTACAAACATTATCACACTATTTGCAGTAGTTTGCCACATCCATTAATCATCATTTGCTTATCAGATTTCGTGTGAAATCAGAGTCTTGTAATTTGATGAAAAGTTTATAATTTTTGGGTAGACGACAGAATGTCCAAACTTTAATATTTATATCAGATATTTATCTGATCCTAAATTTTGTAGATGATGAGGAATTATCTAAAAAATGAAAAATAAGAATATCAGTATGTTGGACTGACCTCTTGAATAGTAAACCGGTGTTGGATGGTGGCATTAAGATCAGTCATCCAAATATCTATGTGAGATTCTTCATATGGTCTCGTCACTCGAACATTTTGAAGCTGCGGGGCATGAATGGCTCCAGAACAGAATGTCGTGAGTTGAGGGCACTCTGTTATGGTTACAGATTGTAATAATGGAAACTTGAAAGTATAATTTTGGCTGCAAAATCTCTTCAATCTTGGTAATCCATGAAGTCCCAAAAGCTCCAATTTGCTGAAAATGATTTCCGTGTCCTCATTGTCCTCTTCCTGTCTCGGTATAATTTCTTCAATTTGATTTTGATGGCATATGGATGGTGCCAACACATTCTTCAATTTTGGCAAACAGATTAACCTTAACTCTTTCAGTGGCACAGCCATCGGTGATGACACAATCTCTTTATAATCATTTAAATCTTCAAAATAAAACACTGTCTCCAACATGTCACAAAACTCGACTTCCAATTCTTCCAAGTTGTTTAAATATTTCAGCACATGAAGGGGCACCAATTTCACAATGTCACAATTACTCACACTCAATGTTTTCAAGTTGCCAAATGAGTTGTGTGAAGGTTTGTCATCCCATATCGGCGGAACCAGACTGTTTAAAGAGTCTAATTCTAATATCTCTAACTTTGGGAATGACACCTGTTGAAAGAAAATATAATTAAACGAAAATCTTTTAGCAAAAAATGAAAACGACGTTACTGTTGATTTGCGAGGCTTAGTGTTCATGAAAGATTGTTTAAATGTGTAAGTATAGATCTCGTGTACCACAATATTCTTCAAGAGATTGATAAAAGTTCAGCTTCAAATTTCAAGTTCACCAAACAGAAATAACTAACTAAAAAACGAGAGAATTATAAAATGCTACAATAGCTAGCTTAATGCCAAAGTAAGTAATTTAAGTGAAATAATTTTTGTAGAAATATTGAGACAAGGAAAAATAGAACATATTTGTATTGAACAGAGTAAATAATTCCAATGAAATTAATTTTCACAACGTAAGTTTGAAATTAAGAAGTTAATAAGATAAGAAAATCTTGGTAAGGAAAAAAATATACAAGATAAGAAAAAAATAAATTAATTTTTTGTCCCAAAAAAATAATAATAAATTGATTAGTAAAATATTCTGGCCTCCTTTGTATTGAAAATAAGTAATTTAGTGAGTGGTAATTTGGTTAATTCTTTAAATAAATATATAATTGACTAAATAAGTTATAAATATTTCTCATTTGCTTAAAAATTTTAAAATTTAAATTTAAATAATTTCTATAATCTATCAGACTTAGATAATCTATATTATATGATGAAAAGAATATGTATTCAACATATTTTTTAGCCATTTAAAGAAACGCAAATAAATTAATTTCAATGTTCGTGACGAACAATTAAAATTATAAAATTTTATAATAGACTTAAAATTAAAAAATTTGATTACATTTTAAAAAGTCTGAAAATACATGTATTAAAATTATGTTTTGTGGTATTAAAAATTATTTTTTTAAAAATGAATGTTTAAATAACTTTTAGGTGAAGAAGCAGTATTTTGGTCAAAATAAAAGTTTAAAGGTCAAACTTAATGGTCACCTTACAGTTGGATAGATGGAAATGGAATTTAATTTTACGGTAGTTATACACACACACACACACACACATATATATATATATATGTATTTAAAAGAGAAACTAATTTGACAGTCCTTATGCTTTTATCAAATTTGGAATCACATTCCTGTAGTCTTCTTCTTTTTTTTTTAAATTTTATTAGATCCTTATTATTTGCTCAGTTAGTAACCAAGGTCCCTCCGTTTACAATTGCCGTTACTTTAAGTTAACAGTGGTGAGGTGGCATGACTAGGCACCATCTTACCTCGTCTGGAACACTTCCTCCCTCATTTTCTCTCTTCCTCCTCCAGTCGGTTTCCTTTTTAGAGTAAAAAGCTTATTCAGTTTCCTTCCAAACCAACACCATCATCTCTCTCTCCCCACCATCGTTTTTACTTGCTCTTGTAGAAGCTTCATCTTGTTTCGAATTCCTTCTCAGACGGCGATGTGGATCTAGGTGATGATAGTTGACTAAAAAGAGGACCACAATGTTGTGAGATTCATCGTATTCATCGTCTTCATCCTTGAAATTTTTTTTGGTTGAAAAATTAGCCCATTTAAATAGACGATTAAGTCCAATAGTGAAACGTGGGAGAGGTTCTACTACTCTTTGGCCCACAAAAATAAATTAATAAACAGAGAGAGAATCCGATGATTTTGAAACATGGAGTGAAACTTTTACAAGAAGAGATAAGGATAACGTAACGGTAGTGGCAGGGAAAGAGAGAATATGAAGTGTGTGAGAGAGAGGATGATGTTAGTTTGGAAGAGAACTGAGTGGAGGCGGGGGGGAGAGAAGATGAAGGCGTAGGGGTTACAGGTGAAATGAAGAACATGATGCTAGTCAGATCTTGAACAGTGCCACGTCAGTGTTGTCATCTTAAAGTAACGCCAATCATAACGGGAGCAAAAATAAGGATGTAATAAATAGAAAAAAAAATTATAAAAACCTGATTCCAATTTGATAAAAGTTTAAGGATTGCCAAATTAATTTTCCCTTTTTAAAATAAAGGGAAGATTTCTATAACTTAGGTAAAACACAAGGCTAGTTAGTATATTTTACTGCAAATTGATTTGAGCATACCTTATGATTATTTGTTGCTGGGTCTTCAATGTTGAAATCCGTTTTATGCTCTTCCGCTTTCAATCTTGGTAGATTAATGAGTTCTAATCTTCTCAACGCACTAAACGTGATTCCACCTTCGACATCTTCATTATTCTCATTCTTTAGAATTTCCTCCATCTTTTTGCAATTCACTATTTCCAACGTTTCAAGATTCACCAAACTTTTGGCCGCTGAATTTGTCATTAAATAGATGAGCTGATGACATCGGAACACCTTCAACACTGTCAAATTGTGAAGTTGTTGAATTTGATGGACAATGAGTGATGGGAATATCTCCTTAAAAGAACTATTCCCCACACGAAGTTCAGTTAGCCGCGAAGATCTTTCAAGCAATGTACACAGAAATGTTGCCCCTTCATCATCAAATCCGTCTATGTGCAGATTTTCCATTTGAGCAAGACAGTCTGCTGGAAATTGGTCATTACTTATCATGCTGACATCATACTCAGCTAACACCATCTCTCTTGATGCCACAAATCTCTGTAAAACAGATATTGAGTCACAAGCATGGTAATATTAATATATTAATTATGTCGCAACTTCTAATTGAATCAGTAATATTATTTTGTTTTTTATTGTGTCCCAAGATCAAATGCGCTCACTAGAAGTGCAAAACATTTTGATTTCATTTATTTTTCATAATGAATCTTGGAAAAGAAATAATTATATCAGCCACGACAAAAAACAATAATGCCAACACATTTCACTCTGCATCGCATTAATCATTAAACTAGGATGTAATTGTTTGGGATATTTTATAATTAAAGTTATGTAATTAAAAAATGATAACTGCTCCCTCCAGTTCTTTTTATAAAAATTTGAAATTTGAATGGTCTTAGTTTTTTTTATAAGAGCCAACTTGGATTTGTCTGAACATTTAATATGTTTTTATCTTTTTTGTCTCTAATTAATTTTATACATTGCATTAATTAAAAGGCTAACAACTTGCTATATTATCTTATCTTTCATTTTTTTTTCTCATTATTACTCTATTTTCTCTCTTATTTTTTCCCCCCATAACTAAGGGTATATGTGGGAAAAAAAATTCATTTCTTATTGAAACATTTCACTGTGTATCCCATTAATTAATTAATTATGATGGAATTGTTTGGGATGTTTTTGGGATGTTTTGTAATTAAAAAATGATAACTAAAATTTTAGTAGAAACTTCAAAACCGAAACATGTATAGGTATATTTATATTAAATATCATAACAATAGAACATTTATAGATTCATATTTTTGTAAAAGCTGGAAATAGGAAGAATGGAGCATTCTAGACATACCTGTTGGTATACTGTTTTGTTAAGATTGGTGTCCCAAATTTCATGATGTTTTACCCCCCATTCTTGTGACACTTGAACTCTTTTAAGAGATGGTGTCTCAATGAGTCCTGAAGAGAATACTTTGAATCTTGGACATTCTATTATGATCAGCTGATCCAATAATGGAAACCTCAAAGTATAATTGGCAGCTTATCAAGTTTCAAATACCGCAACTTGGTGAAAACGACTTCCTCATCGTCATCATCCTCTCCTTCCTGCTTCCATATAATTTCCTTTATGTCAAAGCACCGACTAATTGAGAGACTTGTGAGATGGACCAAGCTTCGAGCAACTGATGACGTCATCAGAGTGGTCAACTCATAACAAAATGCCACGTGGAGATGTGTGAGATTTGGTGAAGAAACTAAGAGTGGTACCAAGCTTGTGATTTTGGAAACACGTTCAAGAGTCAATTTTATTGGAAGAGGAACATCATCCCCTCCAGAAGCCTTCTTAATGTCACCCCCCAATATCAGCTCCTCTAAATTTGGAAAGCTCTTCCACAACAATTTGTATGAAATAGTCGTTGCTTTATGATCAACGTATAGACGAAGCAGCTTTACTTTGGGGAAGTGGTACATTGAAAGCTGGCCACTCCTTATCATTTCTGCTTCTTTAACCCCTAATGTTAACTCCTCCAAATTATGAGTGACCTGCACAATACATAAATCATAACTAAATGTAACAACTAATCAATATGTCAAAATCCAGCACTGTGCATTTTTTTAGGAGGGTATCTTCAAATTTAAATTTGATACATCCACAATTTTTACATATGTGTATTTTGTAACTACAAATATTAAATATGATACATTAAAATGAATACAAATTGATTATCACACACAAATGTTATTCCTCACTTCCTTTGTTTTAAATAAAATATAAAATTAAAGCTTACAATGTCTTGAAAATGCGGAAAAAAAAAAAAACTACTCCCCGATTCAATGACACACCTCTTTTTGGTGAAGATGGAAAACTGAGCATGGGAGTCCCACCATTTTTAAAAAGAAAAAATAGAACATATTTAATTTATTTCTAATATCTATTATTAATTAAAATAATTATTATGAATTATTCTTTTTTAGCTATTTAAGTGAATAACCAAATTAATCTTAAACTACATTATATTCAAATAAATGGTTTAGTAACAGGAATAATTCACATACTTGAGTACTCAAAAATATCAAATTCAAACGTGCTCTTAGACTGTGAAACAAAATATGTTTCATTATTTATTTTAATGCTTAAATTTATTTTTTGCTCTTTTATTAGATTGTTTTCAAAATAAATAACACAT